ATATTTGATAAGTGATTCAACATTTCTAGCTAAATTTCATATTTTCCAATATGTTCTAGCCATCAAAATGGAATGATATCTACTCAGATCCGAATCCAATTCAACTAATTTGGTGTTTGACCGTACCTGCGACAGGTATTACACATAAATTGAAGAACATTATAGCAATATTGACACAGTTTTCATTTTGAAGTATCAATTCTGATGTTCGTGGAGGCGTTTGGAAATGGAATAAAAGAAAAGAAATATTATCATTGTACAACGTTGGTCATCTATGAATCTGTTTGGATTCTGTCCATTTTCACTTTCGTTTATTCGTTGATGAAAATTTGGACGAAAGATATATCTTTCGTCCATGTGTATACACCATCCGAAATGATTATTCGTTGCCCAGATGTGTTACTTTTTATAACGGTTGGATTTGCGTATTGTTCACACTGGACCAAAAACACATTTGTCCATCTTTCGTTGTGTATAAACAAAATTTTCAAAGTAAGTAATGTGAGTTGAAATCACTCCACGACATATATTGCATGTTGCATTATTTTTACTCTTAGGGAGAACCGAGAAGAAACCAATACGTTTTAAATCGCAAGCAAGTTGTGCCATCCATTCTAGCTTATGTGCTGCCTGTGTTTCCCTTAGTATTGACAACGATTAGATTTTATACTTTTAGTGAGATAGACGATTCTTCAAGGTGGGATTTAATGTTGGTCATCTACGTTACAATGATAGTTGGTTCGTATTTTAAACATGTTTTTGAATACATGCAAGAAGAAATTAGAATAATACTTTTTTTTCATTTCAGCGTCTGACTGTTGGACTTTCGTTCAGTTTGTCATTTTTCACATTTTTGATGACATTCGAATCGGCATTTCAATCGGCATTCTTTTTATTGCATTGAAACTATATATATTGGTGGAAGATATTAAATTTCTTTATTCAGACTCCATCCTTTGTTTTATATGCTGCTTATCAATAGGTAATGATAGAAACATTTTCATTTATTTTCTACTTGCACATTTTCTATGTATATTGATGATTTAATTGGATCTATATCGTTTAATTTTTTTTGTTACTAAGGTCGCCAGTGTTTTTTGGATATGGAAATCAATCCCAAGAAGTATGGCGAAAAATAAACATGAAAGTTATTTTCCTTCTCTAGCAGACCGATTACCGATTCACTGACGAATCAAAATAATCTATGTATATGAAACTGAATGTTCGTCTGTGTTATCTCTTCTTTTTTTATTTGTGGCTTTTTTGTTATGCATCTCGTTTAATTTCGCGCGGCCTCACAAAGGATCTTATAAATGCAGTTTTGTATTTCGAATAAAAAATTTTGGAGTTTGAAGAAATTTTTTTTTCATATTTTTGGTTATTACATATGTGTGTATGTGGCTGATAGGCAAAGATACCCGAAATCTCGTAATAGCAGTAATAAAACAGGAAATATGAGCAACGTATGCAACGCGCTTAAATACCGTGACAAAATGTTTGATTTTTATTGCAAGATGAATTATCATAGTACGATTTTGATTAAATTGATTTTATTTATTCGTTGAGATAAAATCGAAATGACACACAACCATCAGTCATCAATTGAAAAAAATACACGACAAACCACAAGAATTCGAGTAAGGAGACCCTCAAAGGAAAAAATAAAACGTAATCTTCGTCTTGAATCTGAACGTTTACGTAAGAAAGAAGTAAGAACTAAGGAAACAATCGAACAATGTGAGACACAGAGTCAACAAAACAAAGTTCTCAAAGTGAAATTCGCTAAATAACTGATTGTTTGAATAACAAAAGGGATGATCAAGATCTGAATTAACCATTGAAGAGAAAAAGAGGCAAAATGAACTTGATCGCAAACGTATTAGTGCTAGCATTATTGATTAAAGTTATTAACATTTCATTTGATAATTTTTCCATAGAAAATACGATGAAATTTTTTATTTAGATAAGATTACAGTAAAACCTGTCAATAACGGAATCCCGTGGGGAATTTTTTTTTCCACTATTGACAAGAATTCCAGTATTCACAGGATCCGTTATTCAGTGGTTTTTGAGTCGATTCAAACAAGATTTTCCATTATTGAGGGTAAAAAGAAAAAAAGCATACATTTTTATGGGTATTCAATTATCAAATCAAGTGATATAATGAACGTGAAAAGGAAATAATGAAATAAAAGTATTTTTTTACTAAATGAATTCTGCATTTCATGAAACGAAACAATGATTACCAAACTTAATGTAAATGCACTGATCAAGTGAATATGTTTTCACTGGGAGCGTCAAAAATTTGTTTTCTTGAATAAATAAGCAATGATTTTGGCAGACAAAAATGAAAAATAATACTGAAATGAATGTAATTGTACTGTAGAAGCTCTACATTAACAAGTTGAACTAAAATAAAAGACGTC